ACTTCGAGACCTGTAAATTCATTGAGTATTGCAAAGTTTCCATATGTATGTTTTAATTTTCAGAAGTTATATTTGTACAATTTTAGTAGTGTAACATGAAGAGTTAGTGCTCAGGAAAATATTTACGCCTACAATGAATTAACCCTTTAAAGCCCAGTGGGAAGAATGTGTGCCACTTATTTAGCAATCATTAAAGTTGCATTTTTAATTAAGCTTTTTATATTATTCTCAGTGTAAATAGGGATTATTTCCTTAAATACCTTTAATCAGGTGATCTTTCGTAATGGAAAATTTGTTTGTTTTTTTGTACGGACTGAATTCTTCAATATTATTCGGTCTGATTTCGGCTTTAAAGAGGGGCAGGAAGAGTTAGGATATTACATGAAGAAATTCATGATTGAAAGAGGGAAATATTTTCTGACCATACAGTGTGAAAAGGCTGAAGACTTTACATTATTTAGCTAAGTGTGTGCTACTGTAAAATTATGTAATTAAGAAGTACAAATTTACCACGTTCTCGCCTTGATACGCATGAGATAGAAGAGAAATACACAATAACTTTATTGGTAAGACGCGAAGAAAGGATACGTCTTGGGAGATGTAAGCAGAGATGGGAGGACAATATTAAAACGGGGCTTAAAAGTATATGATTTGAGGGCATGTACGGAATTCAAGTGGTGTAGGGATGTAGGCTATCCAGTTGAGGTATCTTGTGAAGACGGTACTAGGACCTTCGGGTTCCATAAAAGGCCAGTTACTATTAACGTCTCAAGAAGAATTCTGCTCTTTGCTGTTGGTGACTTTTTCTTCAGTAAATGATTCTTCTGCAATTTATGCTTTCATAAATATATTTAAATTTTATTGAGGTTACATTTTAACATCGCTTACAATGACGTTAACAAAGGAGTTTCCAATTACAACTATATATTATTAAAAGTTTAACAGTTATAAGCCTATATAATCACTTAATGAAATTATAATGGGGTTATGACAAGAAACTTTACAAAAGTGCTTTTGTTTGACGTGGCAACGACATTACTTGGTTAAAAAGTTATAAAACAATGTCTCACGCAACGAGATAAATTCTTTGTTCGATATTCATTTTCTGACAAAGTACACTCGAAATCTGAATTGTGCCTTATGAAGACTGCACACAAAAACGTGCCTGTTTGTGTTTCTTTTTGCACTTTGCCAGCTTATTTTTATTATTGTCAATATCAATTTGTTTGACAGATGTAATGGAAAGAAAAACCAAAACTTTTTTTAAACTGTTGTCGTATGGCACACGCATTTGTAAGCAGACAGTAGCTTAGCTCTCATGTTTGCGCTCGTACTGTGTCCCTTCCCTACAACTGTGTGACAAGTAATAAATAAATAATTTTGTGTGGGAAGTATTCATATGTCATTTATCACCTTACATGAATGTTTTTCAATGCACAACCTAAACAAATCGAAACAGTGAAACAAAATACTCAACAAGAACTTTCACTTTGTTCTTAAAAAAGTTACTTCAGATGTATGCACTTAAAAAATATGTTTTCAGCGTAATCATAAACAATATATAGACGATTTGTGCAATTGAATCCATAAATATGTAATTGTTTATTCGACATCAATTAAACATCATTAATTTGCATTCATATTTCGACCTTAGATAAATCTGTGGATTTTGGAGTGCAGTTGACTTTTAAAATAACTCTTGATACCTGCGACGCAGTATACAGTATCGAGAGCATTGAAAAAGTTAGTTCCATCTCACCGTAAAATGTGTCTGTTCAAAACAGAGCTATAACCGAGTTCAATTTTCGGTATAATCTCTTCCTACTTGTGTATAATTAATCAACCAAACAAAACCATAGTTGCATACTTAGAACGGAAAAATGTGTATGCTGTAATTATGTACACATATTTTTCAATGTATTTGTTGATTCGTATATCTCATTTTGACATT